ATGGCAGAATATACTCACACTTCTTTAGTGCATATAGCGTTAAACTGGAAGTCTAAAAAGATTAATCATCTGACCATTATGGCAAGATGGCCAAGAAAAAGCCTTTACTGTGTAAAACGAGCATAAGTGAATAAAAGAAAAAGGAAGAGGGAAGTTTGCAGGCATCATTTCAGTTGAACAGATAGATTTCATCTTATTTAAGCACCTCACTGTCTGCCCGCCATACTGCCCACAGGCTGGCTGACCTGATGGAGCAGCACCAGGAGGAGCTGGCCACCATTGAATCCATCGACTCGGGAGCTGTTTACACTCTAGCCCTCAAGACTCACGTGGGAATGTCCATTCAGACGTTCCGCTACTTTGCTGGATGGTGTGACAAGATTCAAGTAAGTAGCCGACTTATAAGCCAGGGCGCGTCACTCAAAGGATCAAACACAAAGGTGGAACGACTTGTATAGCGATATTAACTGCATTTACATGTATTGTATGGAATTTTATGTGACTCATGTGATGCCATTCTTTGACAGGGCAGCACCATTCCCATCAACCAGGCCAGGCCCAATCGCAACTTGACTTTCACCAAGAAGGAACCAATAGGGTGAGCAATCTACAACGTTTTTGAGCCATTCTGCGTATGTACATATACTTGTAAGAATTGGGTTCACATAAAAAAATGGATGTTTACGCCACATATTGAATCTGTTCAGTGGTAGGTAAAATGACTTTTTGTGGTACCTGGAAGCTCTACGGACACGAGTGATTTTTATTCATAAAAATAACTTTGAATAAGCAAACTAGGCGAGGTTTTGTCAACCAGGTGGTATTTTCTTAGAGAGAGACAGAAAGGTCTAACTCTCTTGATTAATCAATTTACGTGTTAAAGAGCATCAAGTTGATTCCATAACTATTTTATACTTGTTCTGCTGCCTGGTAACGAGATTAATTTTTATAATCTTTAAAGGAGACATATTATACCCTATTTCAACAAGTTAAACTAGTTCCCTGGTGTCCTAATGTAATGTTTGTGACAAGCTTTGGTCAAAATACCATAAGGATGAAGCCCAATAGCAGTTCAGTCCCCCTGCCTAACCCTAACCCTAACCCTAACCCTAACCCTAACCCAAAACAGCCCCGTTCAGAGCGCTCGCTTTGGAGTGCCTGTCTCTTTAAATGCAAATGAGACACAGGCAATCCACCCACTTCTTCAGGGAGGTGTGCCCACGTCGGCACGCTAACGCTACCATGCTAACGCTCACGCTACCAGGACGTCTCCACAGATAGGGGAGTGAGCTGAGGGGGGGGGCAACATGCAGGTGAAAGGCTGGAATATTATAATGAGCTAGAGCTAACGAGGTCAGAAACTACCCACTCCTGAAACCTCCTGATTTATCTCCTGGATTCAGACTGAGGCGGCCCACAAAAACATGACCCAGTCATTTTTTTTCACACTTTTCCTGCTGATAGGCCCTCCACAGTCCCAAATGTACACAATCACATTATTAAAAACTTGGTTTTGCATAATATGTCCCCTTTAATGAATGGGTTCTATATACACTTTTAGATTTTTATTAGTTTAAAAAAAAAGAAGATATATACAGTATTGCACAGTATTAAGTAAAGTCAGGACTTTGTGAATCAGTGGTTGCTCTGACTCTGACTCTGACCAAATTCTGTGACAGTTATTATTTTAACTGTGTTATTAGCACCCAATAATCTTTTCTTTTTGTTCCACAGAGTGTGTGCCATTGTGATTCCCTGGAACTATCCCCTGATGATGCTGGCCTGGAAGACGGCTGCCTGCCTGGCAGCTGGAAACACGGTGGTGCTGAAACCCGCACAGGTCAGACTCATCTCATACCACGCATGACCCAAAAACACGCCGTTACTCAGGTCAGCGATCACGTCTGTTCCCAGGTCACACCGCTTACAGCCCTTAAGTTCGCTGAACTGGCAGCTAGAGCCGGACTGCCCAAAGGGGTGATCAACATTCTACCTGGCTCAGGTGGGAAAACAACTTTTCAACCCAGTCAAACAGTAAAACTGTGTCATGTTTTTCAAATGAAGACTTCGATATAATACGAAATTGCTTCTTCTCCTTTAGGTGCACTTGTAGGCCAGCGTCTTTCAGACCATCCAGATGTGCGTAAATTGGGCTTCACGGGTTCCACTGAAATCGGCAAACACATCATGAAAAGGTGAGGGAAACTAAATAAAATAAAAATACACATAATTACACAATACCTGGTTTTAACATATAGGTCCTCTGCATCCCTTATAGCTGTGCAGTCAGTAACGTTAAAAAAGTCTCTCTGGAGCTGGGAGGGAAATCCCCACTCATCATCTTCGGTGACTGTGACATGGACAAGGCTGTGCGCATGGTGGGTCTCATTAAAAGCAGCTCTCATTGTCACTCAGCGCACATGGAAATGATGCATCAGACATTGTCTGTATATTCCAGGGCATGAGCTCGGTATTCTTCAACAAAGGAGAAAACTGCATCGCTGCTGGCCGCCTGTTTGTGGAGGACGTTATTCACGACCAGTTTGTGAAAAGAGTGGTATGTTTCCGAGTTTCTGTGTAGACCTCAGACCAGAAAGGAAATCTGCCAATGGTTCCAGACATACATGTACTTGTATAAAAATCAGCCTTTCAGTTGCTCAAATTCTCTTCCTAGGCTTCTTTCGAAACAGTCTATCAAATATTTATTTCTGACGATGCTTGAGCTTTCTTGGGCTATAGATTGGGTATAAACATGATGATTGATATCATAAGGTAGTAGTGTTTTGATAAATACATAAATACAAGTCCAGCTGGGCTTAAGAATATAAATAAACATGTTTCAGATTGAGGAAGTGAAGAAGATGAAGATAGGGGATCCACTGGACCGCTCCACAGACCACGGCCCTCAAAACCACAAAGCTCACCTTGACAAATTGGTGGAGTATTGTCAGACCGGTGTTACAGAAGGAGCCAAGCTAATCTGCGGTGGTAAGCAGGTACAGCGAGCAGGTGAGGAAGTTTATGCTAAGAAAATGTGCCTAACTCTGATTCGACATGCATGATGGATGCTGGGAAATGACTTGTTCGTCTGTTTCCAGGTTTCTTTTTTGAACCCACAGTGTTTACAGAAGTCCAAGACCACATGTACATTGCTAAAGAGGAGTCCTTTGGCCCCATTATGATCATTTCCAAGTTCAAAAATGGGTAAGCTACATTCCAAGACAGTTGGATTTACTTTAACAGCCCACAGAAGCAATTGTTTAATTTACCGACTTTTGTCTCCATTTCTATTTTTCTTATTTTTCCAACCTTTCTGTTTTCTTTCAGAGAGGTGGATGAGGTCTTGAGGAGAGCCAATGCCACAGAGTATGGCCTGGCATCAGGCGTTTTCACGCGAGACATCAGCAAAGCTCTTTATGTGAGCGAGCGGCTCAACGCTGGCACGGTGTTTGTGAACACCTACAACAAGACAGATGTGGCCTCACCTTTCGGTGGCTTCAAACAGTCTGGATTTGGCAAAGACCTGGGTAGGAAAAAACTCTGCTTTTTTATGAGTAGATGATTCTTATTTAACTTCTGTTTTTAAGACTATTGCACTATAAGCACTAAACTGATCAAACACTTAAGTTTAATATTTAACTTGACCATCCATCCATACATCCATTGTCTATACCCCTAGTTCTTAGTATGGTCATGGGGGGGCTACAGCCAACCCAACTGTCACTGATACAAGATACAAATGAATGAAGAATCAATTAAGTCCCATTCTAAAGACATTTAATTGGGTGCTGGACCAAAGAATATTCCCTCTATAGTGGAAGGAAGCGATAACGTCCATTATTCCTAAGGAAGGGAAGGACAGAATGGAGTGTGGGAAGTATCGTCCAATTAGTATATTAAATATTGACTATAAATATTTCATCAGCATCATATATAAAAGATTAGAACTCATCTTAGGGGGAATAATTCACAAGGACCAGTCCGGTTTTATAAGAAATGGACAGTTCCGGGATAGAATCAGGAGGATACTGCATATTGTGAGCAAGAAAAAAAAACGTACCCTGTGTGAGGTGGTCTTTCCTGTACAGAGTTGTTTGGTTTTCACACTAACTTTACTTTATGACAGACCTAAAACCACAATTACAATCAGTGGGGATCTCACTGAACCATTGAATTTGAGTAGAGGCTGTTTGTCACCTCTTCTCTTTGCTTTGGTCATAGAACACCTGAGTCAATGGATAGGAGAAAATGCAGACATTAGAGCTGTCAACCCCTTCAGGAGAGCAGAAGCTGGCCTTATTTTCAGACGATTTACGATTTAGCCCACAGAAACACTCCAAAAATGAATGGATATGTTGAGGGACAGCAACATTAAAAACCCAGGTTCTATCAGTTAACTACAAACATCCACCAGATATTAGTCTACAGTCAGTCTTTGAATTAACATATCAAATAATTTAATAAAGTTATTCGACTATAACAATTGTTCTCTAAATGCAAGAATAAAATCAGAGGTGGAATGTTGTCTCCTTCCTGTCCTTCACTTTCAGAGTTACGTCTATCAAAATGAAAATTCTGCCTTGCTTACTTTACTTTTTCCAATATCTCCAAGTTCAAATACCTCAAAAGAACTTTACAGATTGGTATAGATTAATATCTGGGTTTTTGTGGCAGCTAAAAAAACAGAGTTAGATACAAAACAAAAGAAAAGGGAGGAATGGGTCTCCCTTGCATTTGAGAATATTAGAATATTACCTTGCAGCTCATGCTGCCTGTGCTCACCGATCTACTCAGCAGGATGGAAAGATATTGAAAGCACAAGTAGACATTCCAACAATAGCCATACTTTCAGGTGAGAAATAACAGACGCCCTCAGATTACCCAATGCTAGAATCCTTACAAAAGTCATGGCAATAGACCACAAAATTCTATAAATTAGGTGATGCAATGAAATTTTTTGAAATGCTGTGCTTACTACTCAAACTTTGTACCCAACAAGAATGATGTAGGCTTTAAAAAATTGTGTCAAAGGGGTTAGTCACCTATTTCTCATTTACCCACCATGGGGCATTCCAGAGCTCCGAAATTTTGAGAAATAAGTATAGTAGGAAAAGGAATAGTTGTACAGATACCTGCAAATTAGACAATAAAAAACTATGTACTAAAATAATAACAAGGATTTACAATGGTATGCAACTATCTATACAAGAAAGTGCAGATGACGTTGAGTAGAAGTGTTGAAAGCGAAGTGAATGTGAAAATATCAGTGGAAAAATGGGAGAAAATATGTCAAACACAGTGGATGTTTTCTGGGTCAAATTCATGGCGAGAATTCGTATGGAAGAATGTTATGAGTTTTTCTTTTTTGTGACACCAGCACATGAACAATATTGGGACTCAGGAGAGGCTTGTTGGAGACTTTGTGGTACCATAAAAGCCAATCATATATTCTATTATATATTCTGATTCCCAATCATTCCCTTTAAGTGGGGGATAGTTTAGACTCAACCATTGGCTACGCATAATAAATAATTACTATGTATTTTGTTAGTTGCCAGTAAAAAACAATAACCAGAAAGTGAGTAAAAAATGAACTACCCAGCACTGAGTACTGGATGTATTGAATATCTCAAACTTGTCAGATCCGACTTTATATGATTGCAAATGGGATGAGGACTGATGGTTTTTGTTTGTAGTCATTGATGTGATTTGCACTCTGCTTGGGTTGATGTTACACCGTTATATTATTTTCCTACACGATATAAAGACATTTTTTGTGTATTTTTTCAAATAAAAACAAACAATTCCGGTGAATAATTTCATGTTTGCTTACCGTTTGTCACATCAACAGGACAAGAGGCCCTCAATGAATACCTGAAGACAAAGGCGGTGACCATTGAATATTAACTTTCCAGACAGGACACACTGGGCAGTGATGATGGCTGAGACAAACGGGGTCCTGAAGAAAAAGTGATTTGGACTTGAAATGCCTTAAAATGTATAATGTTAACATATTTCTAACACACAATATTCAGTAACAGAGTCATTGGACAAGCTGTATAAATAATAAATACCCGGGACTATTGAATATTATATCTGGGATGTCCTACTGTAGTCATGGTAAAAAAAAAACAACTTTTGTTTTGACAAAATCCATTTCTAAAACAACTTACATTAGGTCAGAAAAGTATTATGAAATGTAACGTTCGCAATAAAATCAGAGCCAAACATGGCTGCACACCCTTTCTTTTCTTTTCTGTTGTGTTTCATTCTTGAAAGTTAAACATCTTAAATGGATCATCAAAAACTCAAGAGATTATCCCAAACAATAATACAAGAATAGAACATTACTGATTATAATACTTTAAAACTTTACATTTAAACAGGCACCGTCCTTCTGGGACAGCAGAAGCAAGTCAGGTTACAACACACAAACTTGTTTTTAGTTAAGTTTTAGTTACATTTCTTCTGTTTCATTGTCAAAGGTTTGTGGGAAGATGTAGTAGTATAAAACAAAATAAATTGATGATTGGGAGGCTAGGATTGGCTTCAGGTGACAGGTGAATATTAAAGAAACGTTTCTGTCCTGTTCATTTATGACTCGCTGTGCACTGTCAGACAGAATCTCAATAGTATTGCGTTGCACTTATAAGATATCACTGTTTCCTATATTAAATAAGAAAATACTCATTAAATAAGCGTTTCTCGTCTAGTTATGAACAAATAAGGAACTTGTAAGTACGGGTTCAAAACAACAGTTCTCAGACAGGTATTGTGTTGCTCTCAGAGGACAGCGCAACACCGCCCCCTGCCGGACGGAGGCCGAACAGTCCGCCATAACAACAGGACGAGCGTTTCCCTAATAACGGACACCCCACCCTTTGTTATCATCCTACCAACATTATTAGCGTGTACAGTTCACTGGAAAACAATTTCACTGGAAAAAGAAGGCTTTCGTGGAGCAACACAGGGCCCGTGACTCGGTATGTTTAGATATCTCTATATGTACGTACACATTTGAATGGCGTTGTGCGCTCGCGACGGTGGATGAAAGATGCCGTTGGCTGCTGAGTATTAAACATCAAGAAGGCAGCAGTCATGGCGGCATCCTGCTCATACTGGGTCGTTTTGGCTTGCTGATATCCACAAATGTTTTTTTTTATTATTTTTTCTTCCCAAGGCGACAACATGGGACGGCGGCAGTCACAGAGGACGTCACCTCAGCCCCAGCAGCCGTTTGAGAGTCAGGAAAATACCGAGAAGGTGAGGGTACGTTAACAGGTTTTTTCAGTCTCTGATAATTTTAGCTACTTTCGGTTGGATTGCTTTATTGGTAAAACTTGCTCTCTGTTCACTGAATATCTTCTTGCATTTAAAAAAACAGGTTTTGTTGTTAATACACTATAAAGTGGGTACAGATATTAAAATAATGTCAACACTGACTTGACTCACAACCCAGACCCATTTTTTCTTTAAAAAAAACATTTTTTTTTGTGAAAACTGACCAAATGGATCCCACAAATTTCATGAAAAAAAGAAGAAAAGAATAATGAGTACCACCACCAGATGCAAAATATCTGTAAAAAACAAAACAAACAAAAAATTGTTTGTTACACCTGCATCATTCTTAGCTCCGATTGGTCAAAAATTACTAACTATTTTAACAAAAGCCTTATCAAACCTGAATATATCAACATTATCTTTACACAGATGACAAAATGATGGCTTTACAAAACATGCAAACAGGTAGAAAACAAACTCAAAGAGACATGTTCACCAATTTCCAAATCGAGATACAAGGTGTGGCTAAATATATTTCATACATATAAATGGGTTATAAACACCACACTTTGTTTTAAAAGATAAAAAGGGAAACTCGTATGAGGGCCTCTTGTATTCCTGAAACACTGTTTTGTACACTTTTGATGTATAAAGACCATTTCTTACAGTTTCTTGATAGTATAAAATTTTGATTGAAATTTAATGACTGTCTCTATGTAAGTTATTTTCATTCATAGTACAACCATTTAAAAAGTGAAATGTAAATTAAAAGGCATAATTTTATCTCTAACCACAGAGACCACAAAGAAGAAAGCACAGGTCTAATGTCCCTTTGACCAAATGCAAATCTCCTCAACATAGGTGAGATGGCAATATACACACATTTTGTCCTTTTGTATTTCCTTTCCTCTTGGTGTATTAACACTTTCCATGCAGTGCTCAGGAAACTTCTGTGTCAAATCCAGATCCTCCTGCAGGAGGAAGGATGGAGCCAAAGGGGCAGTTAGCTGCTCGGCGTAAACATAGAGACCGCAAGCCCACCACTATGAGGAGGAGTAAACATAAAACAGCTTCTTCATCCCCCCCCCTGTTGGATTCCAGCTCTGTCCTGAGAGAGACACACCCCTTAAAGGAGGAGGAGGAAGTGCTGAGCGGTCATGGACAAGCCGACGACAGTGATACTGACCTGTCTGAGAGTGAGAGACTTCCTGTGTCCTCTTCATCTTCATCTTTCAGGCGAGTGCCTCCACAGCTTGAGCTGAGGCCAGAGGTCATCAATGAGGAAGACTGCTTCCCCCAGAGCTCCAGGATCAGAGGACAGAGCCATGCCGAGTCTCAGTTCCCAGACTTCCTCCCCCCGCCCTTTAACTCCTGGAGCCTCGGCCAGCTCGCTGTTTTCTACAACATGGAGGGCAGGGCCGCCCCCCGGGCCCGGCCCGTGGGCCCCCTGGAGAGGTACCTGGAGAAGCTGCTGCACCTGGAATGGCGTCAGATCCAGACCGTCCAGGAGGAGAGCGGGAGGTCGGAGATAACGTCCAGCTGCCAGCGGTCAGCTGCGGCGGCCTCGGCCCGCCTCAGCACGCCCAAGTGCATCCTCCAGTGCCAGCGCGCCTTCCCCCTCACCCTCCTCTCCTCCCTGGCCAGCCGCCACTCCACCTGCAGCGCAGCGTCCTGCCACTCCCATCACGCGTCCACTCACCAGTCCAGACTCAGCCCAATGCTGGAGCGCGGCAGAGGGCCGGCGCCGCTCCCCAAAAGAAGCTACAGCGAGAGCCGGGTACCCTCCTCTGACCACAACTCCCAATTCAGCACCTCTGTGGGGACTAACAGTTACCTCAGGAGAATGCAAGCTTCTGGAAACATCCGCAAACCCCTCCACGGTGCTACGGCCCGGCCACACACCATCGGCTGGGACTCTGTGGACTATGCCAGAACGGAGCAGGTGGTGAGCAGCAGACTGGTGGCGTCTCGGAGGAGGAGCGGCTCAGAGCAAAGGAGAGTGGGAGCAGAACGACAGCAGAACGGATCGGAGAAAAGGAGGAGTGACTCCGAGTGTAGGAAAGGTAGGGCTCAGCAGCGAAGGGTGACCACATTTCAGGAGCAGAGAGCAAAACAGGACGCTGCCACTACAGCTCTAGATGATTTACCTGGGTCCAAAACATCTAGTGTTCAAAGACCAAGCAGGGCAAAACAGGTTGAATTTGTTACATAACAGCTTTAGTTTAATGAACGTTTACAGTAATACACTTCTATGTTTAATGTTAGGTTTAGTTTAGTTTTTACATCTACTCTCACCACCTTTATGATTTAGTCGTGAATGCATGTTTTGATAAGCAATTATTACGTATTCTTTCTGACTGAATTTAGTTTAATTTGCCTGTTTTTTTTTTACCTGCGTCTTAAAAATGGTCTACATGTTTGTTTAGCTACTGAAGGTATAGCTAATATGAATGATTTTTAACTTAATGTTGTGAATTGCAGTTAAATAAGCTAACATCGAACTGAATGTTTACATGGTTGATCACTTACAAAGGATGTTATTAAACCTATGGCCTTTGTCAGTACAATACATCATGTGTACATTTGTTTTTTATCTGGTGGTTCGAGGTGCTGCCTCACAACAAGAGGGCTCCCAGTTTTATTCAGCAGGGGCCCGATGACAGATTTGATAGTCTCCAGTCCCCCTTGAGACCCTCCTAGGTAAAAGTGGTATAGACAATGAATGGATGAATGTTATTTACAACATTGACTATGCAATTGAATTACACCAAACAATTAAAAGTGAGAATTGCTATTCATCAAAAATGCTTCTCGGCATATGTATCATTTTGTGGGGAGAAAAAGTAGTCTGGGCAAATAAAAAAGACTTGTCTCTGGCAATCAGTAACTTCATTAATACATAAACAAATAAATAATACTATTTTAGACAAATAAATTAAGTTGAACATTAAATGACAAAGTATGTAATTGTATATAGTCAGACAAGTCAGACAAATATTGTTGGAAATCAAAACATACATTAATTATTTGTGCAAAAATCTTTCTTAGTTTTAATCATACAGTATTTATGGCCTTTTGATTTCCATATCTCTGTTTTCATATTAGGTGTAATTTTAGAGAAGAGCAATTACAGTCCACCACAGATATAATCCTGCTCTTCTTCCTATGGTAACAGTGGGATTTTGGCCTTATATCTGTAATAGTACTGAATTACACCCTTTGTAAACTTTATGTACCAAGTATTCTCCTGTACAAACATTTTTTGACTCTCTAATTGGTGCTCTTTAAGCTACAAGATACAAGAAGTTTAATTTCAGGCCCAATAATTTGCTAATTTGTACCTCCACATGTGAATGAAAATGGCCCTGTCTCCATTCAAGCGCAGGACAAGGGTTTGAAAGAAGAGGGTAGGTAGAAAATCAGATTAAGATGTGTTAAAAACTGTTAGCTGTAAAAATGATTTTATCTGAAGTTAAGCATATCTCAACATGTTCAAAGTTAGGATTCGATTGATTTCTCCTATTTTGAAATGAGATTTGATTAATTTGATCTTATTTTGAAATGCAGCCATACTTTAATTTAGTAAATGAGAGAATATCAAACATATCAGCTGTCATACATGTATATTTAGTACGTTACTCGAAAAGAAACATTGTCAAAATATTTCTGAAATGTCCTGAATTAATTTGATTGTTAGTCAGGTACTGGAGACATGCAGTTGATAATACAACTACGATGCTCATTAAAATATATTTCATATTACATAGCTAGACGTTATGATCTCTACCCTTTGCTTCAATATTTTTTCTCCGACTGGATTTCTTTGAATTGAATACCCTTGTTGGCGTCTCAAATAAGTTCCTGTGAAACGTTGAGCGGAACCTTCTATTTATATTTCCTGTTTCACGTCGGACGTGTTTTTGTGGCTGCGCCGCTAACATGGAGGCTGATTCTCAACGTGTCTTAGAGTATTTGACAGAAGTTGAAGAAGCAGCAGAGGATGTACTAACCACTAAACAGCAGGTATATTAATACACAGGCGATATGAGTACTTTGGCTACTGTGTAGAGAGGTAAAGCATTGTATTTAAATCTAAATGCTTACCGAACCGCGTTAGCCGCTAAGCTAACCAGGCTGTCTATAACGTTTGCTTATTGAGGAGCACAATGTGATGTTAGTGGTGTTTGAAGGACGTTTCTGTCTAAAACACACTATATTAAATTCTGAAAGGAGATAAACATTAATATTTGGTGTATTCAAATTAAAACATGGTCTAACTTCGGTTGTTCTGGTGTTACAGATTGTTGAGCTGGACTCAAAGAGAAACAAGAACAGGGAGGCACTGAACGCATTGAAACATGACATGCCAGACACAGGTAGGTTCACCTTTAATCAGAAGTAAACTTGAGTTGTTTTAACACCCACGGTGTAATTGGCTGTACTGTAAAGACACATGTAGAGTTTCGAGTCAGGTGTATGGTTGCTGTTCACTTTACTCACTTGATTTTTTATTAAACTGACTCAATTATTTATTTAAATTGCTGTTCATTCCTGCTGTTGCTTGCAGAAAAAGTAAAGGTTTGCTTTGGGAACATGTTCATCAAATTTCCCAAATCGAAGACAAGTGAAATGATTCAGAAAGGTAAACCATTAAGAGACAATACAATTCTATGTTATGTATTTTTGGATATAAATTATTCTGCTCTATATCATGAATTAAAATATTCTCTGATCTCTTTTTCTCGTATGCAGACCAGGAGCAACTAGACAAGGAGATAAACGACCTCCGAAAAGAATTAAAAGCCAAAGTCAATCGTCTCAATGAGATAGAGGGTATAAAGAATATTTCTTCTGAATTCGCCTGGTCATTACCTGTCTTACAATTTGAAGAGTTTTAGTTGGATTTGGGTAATGGTTAGCTGTCACAAACAGGCCTTTTGAAGCTCTGAAATTCTAATTACTACATCTTTTCCTGAGAGTGATTTGAGCTTACATCAGTCATTTAAAATGACAAACCCTTAGATGAGTAAGGACCTTGTCAGAAACATCTAATTTCCAACATTTTCCCCACATGTTTACACAGTTTTTCATCATATTTTAGTTATTAATGTCAGCAGTTGTTAATCATTTGAACCCTAAAGCTCTGATATTTGAATAGCAGCATTTCTTTTTATTCAGGATCTGAACTTGGTTGCATTGCTTAACACATCAGACATATTTTAACAATAAGCCAAATTAATCAGGATAACCCAGAAACAGAAAGTAGTGCTCACCTTTGGACACAATATTTTGACAGTAAATATTGACACTTAACTGTCACACAACTGGAACTTGTGTGATTGTGGTAAGTTTGTTATTGGCCAGAAAGGTGACATCTAGTGGTCAGTAAAACTAAAATCAGTCCTACACTCATGAACCAGAGAAACGCAACAGAGGAGTTTTAGTCAAATATTATTAGATTTTTCGAAAAAGTGTGTGGAATCTATGAAATTTGTGAACTGGGGCACCATTTGAATAATGTTCAGGGTTAGTTGGATCCGGCCCATAAAAAGATTAGACATCAAACCCAATATGTTAGTGTGGTCAAACTGGTCAGGTTTAGTCAAAGTGCCACTGTGTTTATATCAAAAGTTTCAGATAATGTCAAAAGTCTTATGGGACAGCAGAGGCATACACAGCTATTACAGGAATGTATGTTAGTAGACACTCCAAATTAGAAAAAGAAAAATCTCTAGTTAAGTTTTCTCAGTGACCAATGCATGTTGTTTTGAGAAAACAAACCCATTTTTAAAATTATTTTGCATATTTCAAAGACAAATACATTTACACCGTCTTTTAAGACCCCCCCCCCCACACACACATTTTTTTTTGTACTTCTATGGCATTTTTGTCCATACATAGCAACATTAATTTAGATTTCTGTCTCAAGGTGTAACATTAGAGAGCCTTTGTTATCTGCTGGGTATCATTAGTTTGTCTGGCCTAGTCAGTTGTTTGCTCTGAAAGTGACTTTTTGTTTCACATATTTTTGTTCGTAGCTGAGGCATTTTACCATCTGAATGTCTCCCAGGAGCTTTTTGTTGGAAGCAAGAGTTGAAACAGAGTTCAGTTTAGTGAGTAGTGGTGCTGGTTAGACCTGGAGGAATAAAGTGTTGTGATTTTAACATGATAAGGACTGCTCTAGTATAGCTGGAAAAAACAGAAAAATTCATTTTCTATAATATAATATGTGAGTTTAGTCTATTTAGCTGTTATTTAGTTGCTAGTTTGAGCTTAGAACATCATGTTAGTTTAAGATTTTCCATGGAGATGTGTAGGATGGACAATGATGCATGTCTTTATTTTTCGTATGCAGGAAAACCGGAGCTGAGAGGCTACAATCTTTCCCCACTATCAACTGATGAAGTCAAAGCTATTCACAATCTTTTGAAGAGATGATCCGCCATCTACTTCGCACCCCACGTATTGAAGATAAACTTCACAAGAGCCTTTCTGAATCACGACAACCCCATCGATGCATACCACTGTCACCCACTAAGATGAAAGAGACAGGTGAAAATTCCAATACGATTTTGATGGAAAGAAATCTGTTGATAATATAGGTTTAAACAAACATAAGGAATAATGAATTTAAAATATATAGAAGTCCTACATGGCTTCAACAATCTGCACAAGTCAAGACAGGTTCAGTTTTTGGTTCCTACCAGAAGGGGGCAGCAAAGTGTATAGTGGGACTCCACAGAATTCCCATGTCATTATGTTTCATTGTAAATTACATATTATGCAAAAAAGTTTCATAATAGGGTCTATTTACGCATTATATGTGGTTAGGGTTGTACTTTTTTTGTCCGCTGCTTTCTTTCTTTGAATAAATGTGTTTATCTGTGAAGCTTGTTTTGTTGAACTGATTTTTTTTTTTGTCCTTTGTTTTTTTCCTTGGAACAGGCCATACAACCTCAGTCACAACACGAGTGATAAATAGCTAGTGTTCTCTCCTGAGGGGGAGTGAATGGATTAATACTAGTATTGCATTATAATTCCACTGGCTGCTGACATGATTTAGCCCGAGGCAGAGAGAGAAACGGAGGCCCGACCATACAGTAGTAATGACTGTGTGAACGTGTGTGTGTTTGTGTGTGTTTGCTCTCCGTTTAAACCCCGGTTGCGTGCCACTCCAGTCAGACCTGAAACCAGACCTGAGTGATGAATATATGAGTCAAAGCATGGGAACATGCCAGGTGTCTCAAAACGTTAGACAAATATGCCAAAGCAGTGCTGTGACACCTTAATGTTCTCCACAACCATCCTGTTTACCTCCACTTGCTGATAAGGACTAAATGTCTCACACTCCTTGAGACAGAAGTCCATCCGTTTTGCATAATGACCCGAGACCTCACAGATGGCAAATCTATTTGCTCTCTAAATGCCGTGAGCGTTCACAGGCCTCTTGTGTGCCAGAAAGCAGGGATGGTATTGCGACATTTTCAGGTGAAAAGCTTTAGATCACATCACCGGGAATCCTCAGCTATCCAGGCCAGTTTTACACACCCGACGCTGGTCGTCGGGGGGGGTTGACAGGCTTTCCCTGACACATTAACTATCTGTGTGGCATCGGTTCCTGCTGTGGAACTAAGCGGATGAGGGATTTTCAAGAGAAAATCTCTCATTTAGTTGTCAATACCATGTCATTTCAGTGCAGAGCAGCAATAAGGAGTTGTGGGAAGTCACTTGCAGTTTAAAGAGTGCGGTACCTCTGTGTGGCAGAGATAAATGTGCATTTGGATCTAGCCTAAAACACGTGAGGGAGTTATAGTTCCAGTGTTGGGCAGGGATACTTATTTTGACAGACTGGGAATTGATGTTTTGACTCAAAATACAACTTCACAGGCCAATCGTCGCTTCTAAAAGATCAACTATTATACACTAAAAACACCAGAACAGTTAACTTGCTTTTCTCTTTTGCCTCCAGAGCTCAGAATTCTGAAGCTACAGAAAAAGAGAGGCAAACTAAAACATCCACAGGATTTGAAAACACAGGGGTGTGATTGAAGGGGGGAAAAGCTATCCGAATGTGAAACATATGAAGCAGATAATCAGGAGGTTTGAGCAAACAAACTTTGGTTTAAGCACTTATTTCAAATGCTATGGGTAGAGCGTTAACTTCAGGAACTGACCCCTTCCCCCCCCCCGTGCTAATCTGTGCACCGTGCTTCCTCTGCTGGTGTCACTCCCAGGAGAGAAGAGAGTAGGAAGTAAGGTCAGAGGGGAAATGGGGTTACACACATTTATAAAAATGACACATTCTTGCTCAGAAGCCATCGCTTTAAACCATGCTAATAAAATGCGACATGTCCTACATGACTCGTTTCTGCATCCACGCGTTCAGCCTGTTTTGTAGTTCTTCATATATTTTTAACAGTGTGGAATAACATTGCAGATGTAAAGGATACGTTGAAGGATTCTTGGAGCAGGTTATCTTTCTCCTCTCCCCTCTCTCCCCGCTCTTTTGAGGGTCTTTTAGGAATTGATATGCTTTTTAAACTGTCTTGGCTCCGGCGTTGTGTGTTTTTGTCTTAGTTTTAGGTTGGCCTGATCAGGCTTTGGGTCCATAAGGAAAAGTCTGGTTGGCTCCTTCTGAAATTGTAAGAATACTTCTTTTGCTTTCATAGATGACAACACAAATACTTCATGGACCATTAAGGTACATTCACATAAACAATATACAATATATATGGCTTTTCTCTTCATGGAAACCCATTGCACTAATCTGTTAACATCTATAAAACAAGTAGTACCTGTGAACAAGATCCATCCAGTGTTTAACTGTTATTGTACTGATCTACGTCCTTTCCACTCTAAATTCCTGTTGTTCCACGGTCTATTTATTTCACAATATACATGTTTTAAAAGATTAAAAGATCTATGTGGCTGACAAGGTTCTGTTAACACCACCCAACAGAAAACCACCGGTAAGGAATCCATTCCCATCCCCGACTGATCCCAGTTTGGACTGTGGCTATGTCAGATTTTGGACAAGTTGTTGAATATAAAACATAAACAACTTCCTGTGACACTTACTGACATTCCTCTATGCATTTCAGTCCCTAACTTACCAAAGTGTGTCCGTGAATATATATATATATATATATATATATTTGTACACCATATTAGAATGCACATGTGAAAAAAGGCTGGAAACTTTGCTCCTAATGACAAGTTCTAAACCTTTTTAACGGTGGTGTTTCTTTTCTTATTTGGGAACAATCAGTGGTACAACCCTGTTTTATTCCAGCTGAAACATTTTCCCTGATTTGGCCATTTTACTCATCGGACTGCTTTTGATTCTCTTTACAGATTAGAAAATCTATAAACAACCTCTGACAAAATATTGCTACAATATCCTACAATATCCTTGATCCCTTATTGCAACTTTTAGACATTTTATCAGAAAAAATCGTCTAATTCTAACTGAACACAGGAGAGCAGTGGATGACAGCGAGTGATCAGCCAGAAGCTTTCATCATCCTCATCCATTATGAGAGCTCCATATCAGCAACATATGAGCACAATGCAGTCAGATGTGATTTATGCATCCAGTTGTGAAAGGGAAAGACGTTTGTAAGCGTATGAGGTGCTGCTGAGATGTGTGCACGTGTCTGATACTGAATCCCGGTCACATTCTACCAACGAAACACACGGAGCTCTGCGAGGAGATTTCTTGGCGTGCTGAGAAAAGTAACAAGGGACATCTAGATGATGGAAGAGCAATAAAATACGGAGCGTTTTTCATAACTTCCTCGATTGATAGAAACCATATATAATTAATCTGCTCCCTCAGGTTTATTGAGGGTAATTTTTTGGTGTATTGGCCCAGGTTCCCTTGCCATCATCTTCCTTGCTCTTCTTCATGTACGTGATAGTTCTATAGTTGTCATTATGATACTTTCCAGTGGTATTTATCATCTGATGATAGATGTTTAGAATCACATGCATCTAACCTTTTAAGTCTCAGAACGGGAGGATACATGTGCATCATGCATTACCTCCAAGTTCTGACCCGTGGTTCACCCTCCCCCGAGGAACGCTATGCATAGCTTGAATATGAGGAAAATAAATTCATCAACATCCAGAATATAGAAAACACATTCTCAACAAGTTGCCAATGAGACTGGGGCTTGCTGCGTTCTGCCTCATGAATGGTGGTCCCTGACAGATTAACGAGTTCCTCCGGAGACCGAGGCCGTAAATTCTGGGAGCAGCGTCACAGCGGTCTGACCCCGCTGCACTTGTCTACTTAAAACATAACTTGAAAAGCTATCCCCAAGTTTGTGTGTCCATTTCACGTCTTCCTATTTCCGAAAGCAGTCAATCACCGAAAGCTGTCAAGGAGTCCTTCAGAGTAATGGACTCGCAGCATTCTTGAAATCGCGCTGACCTTTTGACTCTGAAGTAAATGATCCAGAAAAACCGATGATAAATGAGCTAAATGGATTACTGAAGAACAACCGATGAGCACAAACACCACAGAACGGGGAATAGCTGGAATTTCTGCTGTGTTTGTGGCCGGTGTGAGAAAACCTTTTGATGGGGGACGCCGCAATGATAATGATTATGAACCGAAAATGTTTTTCTTACGCTGGAAAAATGGGAGCGGGTTTTTTCAGGTTGCCCTCATCTTTAAACTGTAACATAATATAGATATAACTATTCGAAGAAAGATCAAGTTGGGGTCAGGAGTTTTCAAACTATCTCCTTTAAGGCAAATCAAATCCGCAGTTCGACAACAGAATACTTTCAGGGTGATTTAGCGGACTCTGGAGAAGTAGTGCACTGCTCGGCCATGCAGCCACACCTGCACAAATATGACCGTCAGAGAACAAGCCTCTGAAAAAGAAAAGACACATTATTCTGCATGGGAAACTAGCAGTGAGTTCCTAAACACGTCTGATGTGATTTAGGAACAACATCTTTCTCTGATGAAGAAAACATTAATGTTTGGCTGCCATTAAATAAATTAGATTGAAACTTTCCAACTGTTGAGCTCAATAGTGGATTGACTACCTTTTTGTGGCACAGGGAATAATTTACACGCATGAGGAGGGGCTAAGTTTATATGAAATCACTAATTGACCTAAAATACATGTATTTTGGATTGTGGGTGAAAGCCTAACTACCAAGAGAGAACCCGAGTTTATACGGGGGGAACATGCAAACTCAACACAAAGAATTCAGCCGTGCAGCCTAATCTTTATCCAATCAACCCAACTGACTTAGAAAGTAAATTAATCCAATTTCTGATATGCCAATTAAAAGAACGGATGAGATGATGTTAGAAGAAAATCCCCTTTAGCCCTTAAAAGCCAGATCAAAAAATAAAAAATAGAGGAAAATTCTTATATTTTGTTTGAAGCCTTTGTTTGGGCCTTTAACAGAAATAAAGTTTGAATATTAATAAGTTATTACAGTGTGATGAGTTCAGATTATTGTGGTGTAGTCTTCTGCCCGCTGTTATCTGGGATATCTGATTGTGTGCAACAGGGTTTTGAGTAAAGTTTTTACCATTAAATGAAGCAAAAGGTCTGATATGTAAATCTCCAGCAGACCCAGCTTCAAAAACGACAGATTTTGGGGTTTAGGTCAAGGAGTACAACACAAGGCTGACCATGTCCACTGAGAAAAGAAAGAAAAGATTATGAAATCATAAAAGAATCTGGTAGCACAACTGTGGGGTGTTTTAGAGTCACCTTATGCTTCACTAACTAAAAGATGCATGAGGAGGAAAATGTTAAGTCTGATCTCTGACTTTATTTCTTTATTCAAGATTTGAGTTTAAGATTAAGTCAGAGAACAACAGAAATAAACGTACTCTGAATTTGTCAAAGAAAAATCCAATATCAACCACACATCCTGTTTGACCTGTTA